CCCCAGCCAGCAGACGTGGCTGGGGAATTGTGGGAGTTGAAGTCCTCCAGGCTTAAAGGGGCCAAGGTTGGAGACCCCTGATTTAGTGCAAAGAAAGATACTCTTGGCCATTTGTTTTGCCAAGAGTATACTTTACTGAAGCTTACATGGTTACATAAGTAAAATAAGCTGAATCTGAGGTTTTCCAATGCAAACAACACAAAGGAAAGTTGCTCCCCCATCTCCCGGTTTTCTGCAAATGTTCAATCAGGTGCTTGTATATTGTTCAAGAAACTGGTGCTGGTTCCCAGCTCTTCATATCGTACGGTGACCTTGCCTGGCTGTAGCTTCTCACAAGGCTCACATGGGCTTCCATCCTCTCCTTCTTCCTTACGTTCCAAGATCTAGCCCCCACCTGGTGCTAATGTCAGGCTGCCAGCTCATAAAGCTTGGATAGGTAAGATGCACCCATGACAGACCTCTAACAACTACAATAGCTATGGCTGATAATAACATGAGATGAAAAAAATTTCTACTCCTACAATATATTTTGTTTTCATGGTTTAAAGGGATTAGGAATTCTTATAGTAAAGCTTTTTTTTTTTTCCCCACTTCATAGAGTTTGCACTGAGGAATTTCTTGTAAATTCTATCTTTGACAATATTCTGATGTTTACAGTGTGCTTTGTAAGAGACATGTAATCTCTTCTTGTATTTGGTGGTTTTGAAAACAGAGCAAAAGAAAAATGTTACCAGGCAAATCAAACAAACAAGCAATACTAATGTGCATAGAAAAATATAGTATGTTGCAATGTCACTTGCAAGGAATTGTAAAATTCCAAAGATCCCTAAGTACAGGTACAGTAGTTATCAACTTACGACCACAATTGGGGCCAGAATTTCTATCGCTAAGCAATACGGTTGCTAAGTGAGTCAGGCCTGATTTTACTACCCTTTTTGCCATATTTGTAAAATGAATCACTGCAGTTATTAAGTGAATCCAGCATCCCCCATTGCCTTTGCTTGTCAAAATCTGGCTGGAAAGGGCACAAATGGCAATCACATGACCCCTGAATGATGCAACCACTATAAGTACAGGCGGTCCTCAGCTTACAACCTGTTCATTTAGTGCCATTCAAAATTACATTGACACTGAAAAAAGCGACTTATGATTGTTCTTCAGTTATGACCTTTGCAGCATCTTGCGGTCATGTGATCAAAATTCAGATGCCTAGCAACTGACTCATATTTATGATGGTTGCAGTGTCCCGGGTTCATGTGATTACCTTTTGTAACTTTTGTTAACTTTCTGACCAGCAAAGCAGGGGTGGGATGCAAATATTTTTACTACCAGTTCTGTGGGAGTGGCTAGGTAGGAGTGGCTAAGTGGGCATGGCCATGTAACTGGGTAGGCATGGCTTTTATGTGCAACACCCCCCTGCGCTCTGTTTTTTGGCCTCCTGGGCCTCAGGGAAGCCTCCTGGGGGCGCGCTTTTGCTCCCAGGAGGCTTCCCTGAGGCCCAGGAAAGCAAAAAATGGAGCATGGGGGGACCGCGCAGCATACACACACCAGCACAACCCTTTTTGCCTCCTGGGCCTCAGGGAAGCCTCCTGGGCGAAGCAGTAAGACAGTGAGGGGGATCCCAGCACAGCTGATCGTCGGAACAGCTGATCGTCAGGAGGAAAAAAAGAAAAAGAAATACTGGTTCAGCCAAACCAGTAGCTGTTTTTTTATTACTCGTTCGGCTGAACAATAGCATTTTTTTACTACCGGTTCCCCTGAACAGGTAGAATCCCACCACTGAAGCAAAGTCAATGGGGAAGCCAAATTCACTTAACAAACATGTTACTAACTTATCAACTGCAGTGATTCACTTAACAACTGTGGCAAGAAAGGTCATAAATTAGGGCAGGGGTGTCCAACCTTGGTAACATTAAGCCTGGAGGACTTCAACTTTGCTGGCTGGGGAATTCTGGGAGTTGAAGTCCTCCAGGCTTAACGTTACCAAGGTTGGACACCCCTGAATTAGGGCAAAATTCACTTAATGAATATCTCACTTAGCAACAGCAATTTTGGGCTCAATTGTGGACATAAGTCAAGGACTACCTGTACATGCGGTTTCCAAATGGCCAAATTTTGATCATGCCACATGGCGCTGCTGCAATGATCATAAGGGCGAGGACTGGTCGTCACATTTTTTAATGCGATTATAATTTTGAACAGTCGCTAAACGAATGGCTATAACTTGAGGACTACCTATAAAAACATTGGTACAGAATACTAACATAAGGAAAATATGTTAGCAGAAACACTCATAACCATTCATGGGCTATAGTCCAGAATTCTTCAGTGCAAATCCATCACACAGATTGAAAAGAAATATCTTCTTTTAGATAGTTGTACCCTCCCATACGTTTCATTTTTCCAAATGAAAATGATATAAACGTAATCCTTTTAACAAAGTTTAGTAGTGCGTTAAATGAAATGGAGAACTGTGAATAAAACCAAAGTAAACCAAAAATTAGAAATTCTTTTAAAAAACATAATAAAATTTGGATTGACTTTACAAAAATTAAACTCAATGACCCTTTCATTTAAATGCACTTAGTAATAGGGGTTTTTTTTTCTGTCAAAAGCTACACTTCTCCGGAGAAGTATTCTAAATACTGCCACTGAAAAGCCAAGCCAAAAAAGCTGAACATGATTGGCTTTAATTTAAACTTCATTTTAATTAATTACTGTTGCTATTCTTTGTCTTTTCAATAATTTCTATCTTCTGCCACATTAAATGACAAGTTGCTGGGAACTTCTGCAACAGTTCCAGGGAGTATAATCAACAATTTTGCACATACATCTCTGAGGTTGCAAGTTATATCTTCTGTTTTAAATAACAAAAACAATCAGGAATTGATGGTTACTGGTGCTTTCCCTAAATTAATGGGAGCAAGATTTTGGGGGGGAGGGGAGGGGAACATATAAAAGATTGAAAGTAATCTTGCCTTTTCTGGGCACAATGCCTCAGACAAAATTATTTTAGATATACAATACTTGTCCAGTATTGTAGCACAATATTTTTGCAATATGAATACAGAGACATAATACATGTTTTTAGCACTAATAAAATGTTAACATGAATAAAAAAGTAATTTAGATCAATTGTATTTATGCCAATTCAGAAGTCCCCAGGTAAAGGCAGCTTAATATTTACAGTTTCTTCATGAAATCTAGAAACAGTTTCTCCTTGGAACTCTTGTATTACTTCTTATGATGGAAAATAATTTACAGAGGCAAACATTGCAGGGAATTTGGGTTAATAACAATCTGTTTGTAACAATGAATTCATAGGGATGACAAATCATCCATGATTCTGAGTAATGAAAATTCTCTTTTTTATTATCTAAAGCATTCATTACTCATTTATTTAATCTGGTGTTATAAATTTTTCTTTCCTCAAAATGTTAGTGAGGCATGATACTAAAATTTGTGGCAGGTTCTTAACTATGATAACAGAGAAAAAACATTTTTTGATTTAAAAAAATCAGAAAAGTACAGTATTTTGCTATTTAAAAAGTGACCTTTCAAATGATTTCCTCCAATTGCATACAGTCGGTCATTCATTACGGCCAGTGTGTGGATAGCTCTTTTTGTGTTCATGTCTTGTTTTCTAGCCCAGACATCCATTATAGGGTCATAGCAATAGAGCCAGGGGACATATTCACCATTATGGACACCACCTATAAATCAAAAAGCTCCATTAGTTACAGTTTTTAAAATAAAATTTGGGCTCAACCAAATTTTCAAGTCAATCAAATGGAACCTAGGAAACAGCTTACCTGAAATATAGATTTTTCCATTATGTACAGCTCCTGCATGGGCTGCCAAAGGCTGTGGTAGGGAAGATACATAACGCCACTCATTTGTCTCTAAATTATAGCATTCCACACTTGACAAGTAGCCAGTTTCATTTCTCCCTCCAATCACATACAAGTTCTTATCAAGCCGACACGCATAAAAACTAGCTCTCCTGGAGGACAAAAATAACAAATAGAGCAGTTAGTTTCCAGTTGACTAGAATTAATTCTACCATAATTATTTACAAAAGTTGAAAAGCATTTGTTTCCTAATATACTTCAAAGAATTCAAATTGTGGTTTCTCAAACAGTTGAACTTCCACTCAAGCCCCGACTTTAAATACTAAGAAAAAGAAATAAAAGCCAACATTTCAAAACTTTTTAATGTAGCTACCTTTAAAATACTTGGTATAATTCTCTAGAAAGGATACTGTAGAGCTAGAAAAAAAATACAAGATTTTTTTTTTTTAATTAGGAAGCTGGAAACTCATGCTATAAGGAAAGATTTGTATCTTTTCAGTTTTGAAAAAGGTGGCCCGGGAGCATGTTTGTATGGAAAAATAGTATATACAGACAATGATTTTCCACATTCTTAAAATATTAGAACTTAAGAGTCATCTAATAATGGAAAACTCAAACCGATGGAATACTTCACACAGCATATTGTTAAATTTTGGAATTTGATGCCAATAACACAGATGACTGTAAAAAAGATAAAACAAATTCATAATGTATAAAGGATGGTATTAATGACTACTGTTCAGGATAGAAGAGACATTGTTAAACAGATCAGAGATACAGAAAAGAACCCCAGAATAACCTTTAAAAGAGCAACTGCTTTTGTGACCTAATTGTAAGATTTCATAAATGTAATGATTAACATATCATAAGTGTAATGATTGCCCACTTGTTTCAAAAGCATGGAGGCAGAGACCTTTTATAAGAAAGGGAGAAGCAGTGTCCTGTATAAAAGACGCTATATTCTAAGTAAGCTGATATTAGGAAGATATATAGGTGATATATTATAGATGGAACATTATAGGTCAGACAGAAGACAGAAACAATGTAATGTTGACAGTGTTGGATTTATTCAGATAGTCAGGCTAGGATTTAACAACTCAAGTAAGACAAGTTTAAAGTTAGGACAGATAATGTAACAATAATAAATTAGCTTGACATTCACTTTCTTTATGGTCCTTCAAGGGTCATTGTTCTCAATTTACTAAGAGAACCACATCATCAAATTTTTTCTTCAATTATCGCTTTTCTTCTTCTTTCTGCACTACTGCAAACAGAACAACTTTCCTTGTATTACATTCGTTCTTTCCAAAAAGGAGTTCTCTGGCTAACTCTGAACAAAATCTTATTTATCTGCTTGTTTCCATGGTCATATTTCAAAAGAAATACAAAAGTTTAAGGAATCTATGCTGCTACCTAACATCTTTTCAGACAGCCAGTTTCAATAATTTTCAGTGCTTCTGAAAATCCAAAGCTATTTTTTTGGACACTCATTTCATTTATTCATTAAAAGTAACCTGGCATCCCTGTTGTTTTTGTGTATAAATAAGCCAAGAACCAAAGTTTAAGATAATTCAATTTCAACTCAAACACATTCAAGATGTTGTTTTATTGCAAGGACTGTAAGTATTTTTACTAAAAAAGAAAACCAGAATTCAGACATCAGATGAGGCAAGATAAACACCCACATTTTTCCCACTCTACAGATTACAGGGGAATTATTGCAGAAAAGGCAGTTAGATATCTGAGAACCAGACTGCTGAAATTCTCTCTAGAACAAAGACAAGTCTAGAGACAGTCCATATGTAATCTCCTACAGCTGACTTTTGTGAATAGATGGCAGAAATTGATATTTTTGCAGCTTCTTGCAATCAGCTGAAGGTCACAGGTTCAGTCGTGCTCTAAGTCTAAGCCACAAATGAAACCTTTCAGGGATTCAAGGTTTGATCTCATCTTTTTAATAACTTTGAAGTTTATTTTTTGTACTGCCTCTTTAAGATGGAAAAAACCTTTGGAACTGTGAGCCTACAAATTGCTGGGTGACTGCTTTAGAGAAAGACTTGGAAACTAATTAGAAAGATTCTCTCATGTGAGAAAAATCTATTTTGTTTACTTTTCAATGCAAAACAAAACTTTGAAGATTGATTACTAAAGCACACATGGCTACTTTAAAGGAAAACTTAGATCGGTGTGTGTGTGAAGTGCTTGAGCTTTTTAACTCTTTACTACAGGCTGTATTGTTTCTTAGTTTTCATCTGTTTAATAAAATTATTTTTTAAAAAAAATTAAAACTAGTATTCTTAAACCCATCCTGAAGTGTGAAAAAGTGCCCACCCACCCTGCGAACATTAAAAAAAAATGCTTGCTCACTTGACAGAATCCATAGCAGAGTTAAAACCTATAACATATTTCTATGAAAAGTTAAATAATATTTTCTATGCCATTTCAAACATGAAAATTCCGTGGAAGTTCCAAAGTACTAGAATCTCCATTAAAGCTTCATGTCTTTAGAAATGTTAAAACGGTATTAACGGATCTGAGTTTAAACTGATTCATAAAAAAGATACATAGGTACATACTATACGTGTCAAAAATGTGTTTAATAAGATGGACATCAGATTTTCTATGCTAGTTCTGTTTAGTGGAAAGCCTCATTCTATCTCTCAAATTTAATTTATACCTGTTGTATAATTTATCTCAAAATTATACCAAACTTTTCCCCAGGCACATTTCACAAGTGGACTCCCCCTTTTAATTTTTTTAAATTAAATTAAATTAAATTAAAATAAAGTTTATTTAAGTTTCATATATTTAAAACATTTAAAAAGAAACAAATAACCATATAAACAAATATATATATACATATATACATTTTGCAGCAGGTATTGAGCATTGGTTACATTTTTCTTTTCTTTTTTTATTTCACCCCATAACATTGACATGATCTACCTTATTACCTTCCTCGTTCTTTTAATGTTTTAATTTCACAGAATACTTTATGATTAAATGCACGTCCTTCATAGTTTCATAACTTATTCAGTTGTCAAATGTTGCTTTTTCTTTAACCATTTGTACCAACACTTCCAAACTTTGTAGTATTCTCTATCTTTGTTGTTTTTTAGTAATTTGGTCAGGCTGTCCATCTCTGCACACTTGTGAATTTTTTTAATGACCATCTCCTCTGAAGGGACAATAGACAGTTTCCAATTTTGAGCATAACTTATTCTGGCTGCCGTTATAATGTGCAAGATTAAATATTGATTTTTTTTTTCTATTTTTGAGTCTATCATACCCAGCAAAAAGGTTTTGGGTTCAAGTTTTACTTCTTGTTTAGCTATATTTAGAATCCAATTTCTGATATTTTTCCAAAACTTCTGAGCATATGGACATGTCCACCACATATGGAATAAATTTAAAAATTTATTCCCCTCTGTATTGGGAAGCAAAAGTATCATTTTTCCAATCATTAGGCACACATGCAGTCTTCAGCTGTGTTGATAAATCACACTGCCACTCCTAAGTTGAGAGAGAGAATTGGTGCAGTGGCTTAGGAGTAATCTAGGACACATTCCAAATTATTTCATAATTTTTAATTCCATTTGCTCTTATGGAGTCTTCTTTTTCAGCTCTCTTCATTCATTTTCAAAACAATTATTTCTATCTAAATCATTCTCCATTTTCTTCCTTTCCTTAATTTTAACTATTCTTTGCTCACTTAGCTATATTTTTTCAACTTTATTTCTGTCCATATATTTCTCTCAATTTTTGCAGCAATAATTCTTGTTCTCCATTTTCCTCATCCACAGTTGCTTCTTCATCATCATTCCTCAAGCATTTTTTCCCCTATTTCCCATTACAATACTTTCACATGCTTATGTGGCTCACTGTAATGTCTTTCTTTTCACTTTTGGGAGATTCTTTTTTTTATACTAAGCTCATACTTTCTTTCCTGAAGTCTTTATTGTCTTTTTGGTTTCTTTAACCTTACTGCTTTTATTCCATATGTAACTTTTTCCAAAGATTCACTCTTGACATTATCAACAAAATAATCTAGTTTCACATTCACACTGTATATCTTTCACTTATTCTCTCATGTTTTTCAAAACAAACAAATTAGTCATGTAACAAAACAGATTTATGTTCATTTTCTTGCAATATTAAAATGAATACACCAAATATTCAAAACAGAGTTCCTTTTTTAAGCAAATACTCCAGGTCATTATTTTAATTCACTCGTGAGTCTCTAAAAAAACTTATTTTTTTAGAACTCTCTTGTCTTGTTCCCTATTTATCCATCCATTCATGTCACCTAACAAAAAGTTTCACAATTTTTGCAGAATTCACTACTGTTTCTTTCATTATCACATTTACCAGACTGTAGTAGGATTCCACCAAAATAACGATTCCAAATTTTATACACATGCATAATTGCCTACAAATATGTATTCATATTTTCTGATGTAACCACTCCCCTTCCTCCACACTTCAACTGTACTTTCTCTTTATTTTCTCAAACACAGATGATAAATCTATTTTCCCTTAATTTCATTTGTTGATTCATGCTGTTACAATCCAAGTCATAGTCCTCCATATGCTCTGTCCAGATGGCCTCATAATTATAGATCTCCACCACACATTATGACTTTGGCCAAATTATAGTTTCACACAATTCTTATATTAAGATATAGGTATAGACTTGGATTAACATCAGTCATATTCATACTACATGCAACAGTTCTTGCTAACCTTCATTTCTGACACATTTGTGTCAATTATTTCATAACTGCATTTATGCAAATATAAGGTCCATACAATATGCTGGTATGCATGTTTAAACAATTACAAATGTATACTTTAAAATACTGTCTTTTTTAAAAAAAACCTCTTTATTTAGAAACATTTTTTGTAACAAACTTATTGTCTGTGTGCATTTTTTTACTTCATCCACATAGTGTCACTGTTAGGAACAAAAATATAACATTGTGTTTGAAGTTTAAAAGTGTACTTTATTGGCAAACTCCTAGTAGTGCCACCAAATAAATTATATTTGAACCACAGAGCTCTGATTAATTAAGGTAACATGTAATTGCTATAAAAAAAACCTTCCATGCTAAAATAATACATTAAAAATGCGATTTCAGAAAGGAATAACCTC